CTGTTTTCCTACAAACAGTAAAGTTTCTCTATAGTGTTTTTCAGTTCCTGTCATGTTCTTTTTCTCTTCTTGACAGTGGCAGGATTTTGGGAAGACTTTCATCTGTTTGTAGAGTTCCAATAATGGAAGTAATAGTTCTCTTCTCTTCTTTGGAAACTGTATTTAGCTTCTAAAATAAAAGGTGAAATCCAGGTGTCAGTGGCAAAGCTTCCACAGATTTTGGCAGAGCCAGGATTTTGCCTAGTGTTCAAATCTGATTACAGGTAGAGGGGCTACTAAAGAGAACTATGAATTACAGTGGTGCTCTAGTTTCTGCTCTGCTCATAATATGTCCACATTAAAAAAGCAATTCCTTTATCATATCCAAGAATATATGTATTCTCTGTACATAGTCACTATTATAATAGCCTAGGGATTTCTGTTAATGTCTTGTGGAGAAATGTTTTGTATCCTGCTATCAATTTCCTGAATGAGTTTCTATTACTTCCTTCCCCTGGCATTTTTCTCTTTTTACACCAGCTAGGGAAGTGGATAATGCAAAAAGGGAGTGCCAGCAGTCAGACCTCTAAAATTCTTGTTCATACCAGTTTAATTCAGAACATTAAAACACTTTTGTTATACGTAAATTATAACCTATGACATTATTTCACCCCAGTGCTTCAAAATGCATAGTTGGTGGGTGAGGGGTATAGTTTACAGTGAGACATAAATACAATCTAGAAGAGTTCGGGGGAGTGGGGAAGAGACTTTAAATAAGCGGTAATTTAATCCAATTTGTGCTGCATGGTATCATTGTACAATTGAAGTGTCACTGATTTTAAGCTGCTGCTTTTAACTTTTTAGTAGAAAAGCAAGGGCACATTTTGTAGGATAGCATCTATGAATGGGGGAGGAGGAAGAGGAAGTGTTGTGTGTTGTCATAAATTATTTATTGCCTTTCTGAAAAATGGAATAACTGCCAGATACTGCACTAGACTATATCCTGAAATTTTGAGCCATACTTTTTCTTGATTTATTATTATTTTTTAACTTGGCAGAGGACTGAGCCTTCTTAAATCAGTTGCAAGTCTATGGCTGGCAGTTTCATACAATCATTTGCCAATTGTTGTACTAAGAAAGCATTCTGTTCTTAGCTTAAGAGGATTTAAAAAGTACAGAAATAACTATTTTCCTTCCCTACAAGGTTGAAGAAATAGTTGTATAATAAAGAGCATTTTCTAAATTAAGACATAAAATATTTAGTTAGTTTATGCTTCAACATAAGAGACTTGTTTTCATTTAACTGCCATGTAATAAATTAAAAATTAGGAAACACTGTTATTAGAAGGAAGTAATCTGGTCATCTGCATATACATATATCTTATCATGTTTTTGTTTTTTTTAAATCTTTCACAATACCTAAGAAATTGGAGTACACTATGGATGTAAATGATTAATTAAGTACCCATTTAAATTCCCCTAATGTTATCAGTTAAACAGTTAACCAATAGCATGCATCTACTGGAGACAGGCCCCTATCTGTACTCTGGCTCTTTCTTGAAGTGGCTGCAGTGAGCTGGGAAAACTCCTCAGCCCATGCTGCCACCTGCAGTTTTATAGGGCTGTGGCAGGTCTCGTTGCTGCTGCCTGCAGCCGGCCTTGGCCCCCAGGCAGTTGTGTGTTGGTGGCAGCAGTGGATTGGGGAAGCCCCTTGCCTGTGGCTGCCTGGGGACCCAGGCCAGCTGCAGGCAGCAGCGGCAAGCCACACCATAGTCCCTGTGAAGCCTTGGGTGGCAGCAGCAGGCTGGAGAAAGTCCCTCTCCCACTGCGGCTGCCAGTGCATGGCTGTCTGAGGGCTGGGACTGAAAGTGGCTACACTGTGGTCCTCAGAGCCCCAACCTGGCTTGTTGCTGGCAGTGGATGCACATATACCTCGTGGAAAACAGCAGGGGAGCCACAAGAGGCCCAATCCTTGTTGTGGCAGTGGAGCCCTGGCCCCTTCCCCACCATCTACCCAGAGGCACCAGTGCATCCACTGCTGGCAGTGAGCTGAGCCAGAGCTCCACAGACCCTAGCGCAGCCACTTTTAGCTTCCCCGCCACCTGGCGCAAGCAGCCCTGCCTAGAGCCCAGGCTGGCTGTTGCAGGTGGTTGGGAGGCTGCAAGTGGCTGCATCAGGATTTGTGGAACCCTGGCCCAGCTTGTTGCCAACAGCAAATGTGTGTGCACCTTGGGGCAGACTGTGCAAAAGGGGCTGGGGCTGTGCTGCCACAAAAAGGATCAGGCCCCTTACAGCTCCCCTGCCGTTTCCCTGCCATAGTAGGTACTAGTTTGCCCTCCCTGCTTCTCCCTCCCTAGGTACTAGTCCCCCTTCCCTTCCCCCCTCCTTCCTGCCTGCCCTGCCATCTTCAGGGGCACCATGCCACTTCCCTTTCCCTGCCCCCGCTTTCCTGCTGGACTGCTCTCTGGCTCATGCTAAATGATAATCAGTAAGGTATTACTGGTTATCAATATGTGAACAATTAACTGTTTAACTGTTCACATCCCTAGAGTATACAGACCTTGCTGGAAGTGCAATTCATAAATTTTATCAAGCAAGATAAACATTTTGCTGAGAAATGTTGATGTCTAAATCCCCCCCCCCCCCCCTTGATTAGCATTGCATTCCCCATAAAAGTTGAAAGCAGCACTTCTGCAAAGGTGGGGAGGAGGGAAGTGGCTGGAATAATAAATATTACATGTGTTAATATAAAATGTCAATAAAACAAGAAAAAAAGAAAGCTGGAACTGCAAGCAACGGTGCATTTCTTTTGAGCTAACAAGTAACTGGTTTTCAGCTGTCCATTGATTTTTGTGTGTGTATATTTTTACAGGGATGCTTCATTTGGTACTTGCAGTTTTCATCTAACACTGCTTGAATGCTTTCATGCAATAAATAAGGTTAGTAATATGATAGGCTTACTTACCTTTGCAGCTGCTCTGGCTCTGGCTCTGGCTCTGCCAGGGGCATAGAACACTCGGTGGGACCAGGCAGTAGGGGTGGCTCTGGCTCTAGTCCAGGTCAGGACTGGAGTCAGACCCACAGTTGCTACCCCCAAATTTTGTGTGCCCCTTCCCCATGCCCTCCTTGCTACATTCACCCCCTTCCCTGTGCCCCTCCTGTACTCCTCCCTTACCCTGTGCTTCCCCTTCCTCCCTTTTCCCCTGCATTCTTCCTTGCCCTGTGTACCCTCTTCCCCCACACTCCTGTCCTGTTTCATGCACCCCCTGCCTGCCGCATGAGCCGCCCTGGTCCCATACATAGCAACAGCAGCTGCTTGCGTGGCCCATACTAGAATCTTAAAACGAGGGTTTTTTTCCCCATGCTGGATGGGGGGAAACCCCATTTTAGATTTGAGTAAGTACAGTAATTTTTTTCAGTGGGCTTTGGATATAACGCATCACAATAGCAAACGATTAAAAGGAAGGTTCATGTCTCCAAAGTTATTCTTAATCCAGTACATCCAACTCCTCCTGGTGGCTAGAACATACCTCTAATTTATAGAGTTAAATTTGGTAAAATTTTTCACAGCAATGTTGCTGCCTCTCTCTTATTCCGTTAATAAGAAGATTGCACGCTGCTGCAGCTTGCAATTTGTTTTTAGTTAATTAAAACAAAAATCCCACTGTTCTTATTTATTCTCGTTTGTGTGTATTAGCATTCATATTGGAATGGAAAGATTTGTTTTCAGCTGAGACTGAGTGTCACATATTTTATAAAGTGGTTTCAAAAGCATTAAAACATTTATGTATTGGATCAAACTTAGTCCAGTTAAGGAAGTTAATGCTGAAAGTCACTCTGAAAGGGTAGAAATATTGGGCATATAAATGGTATGCAGAAATTTATCATGTTGGTAAATTATTTTTTTTCCTTAGAGTTTTTCTTCTATGCTAAAAGTTTCTTTGTGCATTTTTAGGCTTTGCTACATGGCTTCCTGGATTTCAATGTGTTTGATGTAGATGAATATGAGCATTATGAGGTAAGCATTCTGTATTAGTCCAAATATTAAAAATTATACAGTATTTAAATGTTGTTTTGAATTACATATTTTAGTCATGTCATTGCATTGTTTTACAAAAGTAGTAAATAAACTAGTACTACTGTTATATTGGTCTTCTGACCATTTCCTATTACTACTGCCTGGATTACTTTTATATAACTGGTTATTTTTGTAGCCTTAGCTTCGATTTCTGTTTTTAAACTATTTCAGATCTTTAAATAAAGATGCATTGAGAGCAAAATAGATAATACAAATTAAATTTAAACAGCAGAACTGGGTAGGTGCATATGTGATTGGGCCTGAGAGGACTCTAGAAAGTAAAGATGATGAGGAGAAATGTAAAAAGAGGTGTACACAGGTGTAGGTTGTAGTCATGTTGGTCTGCAGACATAGGCAGACAAGGTTCTTTGGGTAAACCTGATATCTCTTATTAGACCAACTTAAGTAGTTGGAAAAATTCTTCTTAGCAAGCTTTTGGGTATAAATACCCTTCATCAGGCTGAGGAAGCATCTGCAGTTGGTGAGTGCTCTTCCTGCATGGTAGTTTTTTTAACTTCTGATTTTTACCATTGGAGGATGCTGAAAAAAACTTTCTATTCAAAAGCCACTTTTTATAGCCAATTTGTGCTGTTAGGGGAAACTTAATGAGCAACCTGAAGAAATGCCATTTTTGGACCAGTTGTTATTTAATGAAGGGAAACAAGTATGAAGTGGTGAAGAAATGATAACTGAATTGTGTGAATTTCAAAGCCAAAAAATCACCTCAATTCTTTGAGAAAACTTCAGTGTAGAATTTTAACTTTACAACTACACACCATAGATAAATATCACCTTTTTAGGGCAAAAATTGTGATAAATGTAAAGGAAGATTAGATTAGAACTCTTAGAGTTCAAAAAATAATTTGCTAAACATTTCCAAGTAAGGCCTTATTTGAAGGTAGCTGATGTTCCCTTCAAATTTTGGTTTAGGAAAAGAGACTAAGAATAGATGATATTTTCTTGATGAAGCAAACAGCAGATTGCAAACAGAAGCAAGACTTGTCTGTCAGTTGTATTTAGCTTTGATTTATGAAGCAAATAGGAATAAGGCTTGTTCGGGTTGGAGAAAAGATGCTTAGTAGGGGACATAATAGCAGTCTTCAGATACTGGAAGGTCTGCCATAAAGGTGAGGGAAAATACCTTTTCTCTCCTTCTGTAGCGAGTAGATCATGGACTAGTGGTAAACTTGTTTGCTATAAGAATAGTGAGGCACACTGTCCAGGGAGGTTGTGGACTCTCCATCATTGGTGATGTTCAGGAAGATGTTGGACAGACATTGGTCAGGGATGATCTAGGCATAGCTGTATCTGTGTTGTGTTACGGGTATTTCTCGTGCTTATGGGCTTTGGTTGCCACATGAGACCAGGAGAGTTGTTTTTCCCATTCTGATGCTACATTTTGGGGTATGTGCAGATGGGGTTTTTTCAAGCCTTCTTTAGAGGCATTGGGTGTTGGCTGCAGCTAAGGCTGGGGATTTTGACTCGGCTGCGCCAATGCTCTTGCTGGGACTTAAATCCAGAGGCTCCTGGCTAAAACCCAGGGTTTCTTGCCCCTCTGCTCCAGTGTCAGACTGATCACCAGAAATGAAGCTAGGAAAAATTCTACCCCGCAGTCAGAGGGGTACAAACTGTTGGGGTTTCTGCCTTCCTCTGCAGTGGGACTCGTGGACCTCTTCCTTGGATCTCTCGTGTGTATTTTTAACATCTTTGCAGCAACAGAATATTAGCTGCTATGGTCCTTCTGCTTTACCTGTGGCAAATAACAGTATTGTGTCTTGTGGCTGTCAAGGTTGATGGTGTAGTTTTGTTAAGAGGTTAGATAATGGATTTTCATAGAATGGTTTGAATAGGGGTGATCCTGCCTCTGGTTGGGGGTTGGACCAGATGAGTTATGGAAGTTTCTTCCAGCCTTACCTCTCTGTGGTTCTAAGCTAAAAATTTAGGGATATTGATAAACCAACTAATTTTTTTTTTCAGAAAGCAGAAAATGGAGACTTTAACTGGATAATACCAAACAAATTCATTGCCTTTAGTGGACCTCATTCAAGAAGTAAAATTGAAAATGGTACGCTTAACAAAAGGTGGGGGACACAGACCCACATGCTACTGGTTGCTTAGCTGGTTGTGATGAGTAAGAGCAACTTTATCAATTGTGGTGTTTTTTAAATATTCATCAAACTCTGATTTCCTTAGCTGTTTTTCTTTGTTTAAACTTAGCAGTAAAAAAACCATAACGTTTATTTTAATTGTACTTGAATTGGGCTTTGGTTCAGTTTTTATGTTAAATATACCTTCTTTTAAAAACTGTATTGATTGTTGTTGTAGTTGTTGCTGCAGTTTTCAAGATTGTTTCCTTTTTTTTCTCTACCTATAGGTTATCCCCATCATGCCCCTGAGGCTTATTTCCCATACTTCAGAAGACATAAGGTCACCACCATAATACGCCTCAACAAAAAAATGTATGATGCCAAACGATTTATTGATGCTGGTTTTGAGCATTATGACCTCTTCTTTGCTGATGGAAGCACACCTAGTGATACTATTGTTAAAACATTCCTAAATATTTGTGAAAATGCTGAAGGAGTTATAGCAGTACATTGCAAAGGTAGATCCTGTGTATTTATATTGTATGTGGGAGTTTAGATGGCATGACACTTTGTTTCAGAAGTTCTTACGTCCAGTTGCTTATAACTTTGCCAAACTAAATGTTTCAGCTAAAATGTTCCATACTTGCTGTCTGCTGCATCTGACTTCTTTAATTTCAACCATCTCTTCACCCATTTCCAAGAATGATGTCAAGGGAGAATGGGCCTGCCAATAGTAATCTTTTCAAAGATTTGGCTAGGAGAAAGTGCTGGTGTTTCTATGCTTTGCAGCAGAAAATTGAAATTTTCCAGGTAGATAGCTTTAAAAAGAAACAAAATCCCAACCAAAACTCCAGCTAAAATATTTGTTTTTAAAAATCACATTGTGCACATAATCTGAACTGAGCATGTTTCCAGGCTCCTACTCAGCTTCCAATCAGTTCTTCTAGAGCCCAGATAGAACAGACAGAAGTTGAGGCCCCAACATTTTTCTTCTATTGAGCATATTGTTCTGAAGTCTTGTCAAGAGTATAGTGCATTTCTTTTAGTAGCTGGTTCTGGATGTTTAGCAGTCTACTATAGTTACTTTTTTTTAGCTCAGCTGGTAGAGAGGTCTTCTGCTGGGGTGTAAATATTGTGGGACATCAGCAGTCAACCACCAAAGGTCAATATATTTCTTATTTTTTTTAAGATGAAAACTAGGAAACTTAGATGTGTTAAAAAACCTTTTAAAAATATCACAATTAGTATTGAACATTCAAATCTTTAATTCTGTGCCATATTTACTTCTGCTTCCTTTTGATGCAGTCTGTATAATTGCATACTATTTGCTCTGCCTGATCCTTCAGATTAGTGCAAGTGTTTCTTGATTTAAAAGAAGAAGACAGTCTGGTCTCTTACGGTCAGGCCTGTTGCCTGGAACTCAGGAAAGCCCTTTCTTGTTCCTGGTTCTGCCACATACTTGCTGTGTGACATTGTTTCATGAAACTCTTGTTTACCTAGAAAAATTGGTGAAAATATTTTGGCGCCTTGATTTGCTGATCTGCATTAAAGTTTACAGTTTGAGCAGTTTCCTTAATTGAGCAATGTACCCGAATGTCATGTAACAATAGTACAAGAGCTTTTTTTCATCTGAATGTATTAAGAAGGTGTTGATTTGTTTCTCTCCAAAATGCAGTTTGTTGTATTCTGCTGTGTAATGCTACAGCGAAAGCACATCATACATCTTGAGCATATCATACCTGTCTTGCAAAAGTAAATCAGCTTTTGGGTTCCTAAATAGTTTGGGACTTATGTACCAAGCAGTATCTGTCTCCGACTAGGAGTTCTGTTGAGTAAAATTGATTGATTGAATTGGAGAGATTTTTCCCTTCAAACTCTTCTCCCATCTCCTTTTGACTATCAGTTAAGTGGTAGGGCTCAATGATTTGAACATTTTTCATGGCGGGTTCTTGGCAGGAAGTATCCTAGAGTCACTGTGCCAAAACTTAGATTTGTTCAGGGAATATTGCAAAGCTTGTCTCCTTCCTTGGGTTTTGATAACAGTGGTTTGAATATTCACATTAAGAGAATAAATTGGTGGTTATTGTGTTCTAGGATAGTTGAGCATTTGTTTTATGATCATATGCAAATTGTATTTCTAAGTATTTTATGCCATCTAGGTATATAGATGACTCTAATAATGAATGAAATAATAATGTATTCCTGTATTCTAATATTATAAAAGCTATAGTCTGTCTGTCCATCACACTTAATTCGCAATCTGATTGGCTAATGGAAACAACCAATCAGAGTGTAAATGCAGCATTCAGACAAGAGGTGGCGGCATGGCGGAGCACTGCCATGATGGTGGGGATACAGGGGCTGGAGCAAGATGTGGGGGAGCAGTGGGCCTGGGTTGACACAGCGACAGGGTGGGGGGAGATGGGAGGAATGGGCCTGGCCCAAAAATAGCATCAGGGAGGGTTGGGGGGAGGCACACTGGGCCTGGCCCAGCCCTGAGACAGTGGCAGGAAAGGTGCGGGGGAGCCAGCGCTGGCCTCACAACAGTGGCAGGGAGGGTGGGCAGGGTGCACCAGGCCAGGCCCGGCCCTGCAACAGTGGTGGGGAGGTTGGGGGGAGGGGCAGGCCTGGCCCTACAGCGGAGTGGGGGAAACGGAGTGGGCCGGCCCCAAAAGTGGGGGAGGAGCTGGATGTAGAGCTCTGTCCCCACTCGCACCCACTGCCCATCATTCTTGATGGACAGTTGGCTAGTATAAAATATAAAATAGTTGGCTTTGAAAGGCTACTTGATTCAACAAGCGCATATTTATTGAAAATGTAAATCTAATGTAGTAACTTTGTAAACCAAAACTACAAGATGTGTATATCTGTTATGTAGGTGTCACTTGATATCAACACGAGCTGTTACAATGCAGCTACATCTGCGTGATAGTATAGCAGTAGCTCTTTCATGCAGAGCTGAAGTTAAAAGTGATTTATCTAAAATCCGCAGCATAGCAAAATCATGGACAGATAACTGGTAATTTATGCTCCTGAGTGGCAACTTTTCCCCTCTACCTTTCAAATAGCTAAAAAGTGCGTTTGTCCGTTGCCTAACACTCTTATTAAAACAATATGCTACGTTACGAATATTGTATGTAACTTTAGAAACCAATCGCCATCTAAGTTTTGCCAGTAAGAGGTTAAGATGTATATTTAAGTACTCATCAGCCATAGTAATAACATTAAGGGACTGAATAATTTTATTCCTTTGTTTTGGACATTGAAATTTAAACCATTGTGGTGCGTGAAAAACCGAGGTCTCTCTTCTGTCTTCCACAGCTGGTCTTGGCCGGACTGGCACACTTATAGCCTGTTATATTATGAAACATTATCGGATGACAGCTGCTGAGACCATTGCCTGGATTAGAATAAATAGACCTGGCTCAGTGATTGGACCACAACAGCATTTCCTGGTAGAGTAAGTAAACTGTTACTGTGCTGGAATAAGCAATTTGGAAAATTGTGGAAGACCGTTTAATAAAAAAAGATTAGTTCCTTTAAAACAAAATGAAATCCTACTGCTATTTTCTGGAAAGTTTGTATAGCTATATATCTTTTCATTTTTGTAATAGGAAACAATCAGAACTTTGGACAGAAGGAGATATTTACCGTGCAAAGTTAAAGGGGAACAGTAAAATTACTGTTACGAAAATCCTCACAGGAGTAGATGATATTTCAATTAATGATGCAAAAAACCGGAGAACTAACAGAAAAGACACTGAACTGGTAATCGTCCAAATGTTGTGCTGTTGTAAAAGGGCATAACAGTTGTTGGTGGTTTCTTGGGGCATGGACAAAGCTGTGGTATAATTTGATTTGTTAGAGTGTGAGCGTTTTATAACCATCATTTGCGAGTAAATTACATAGCAGTATTCTGCTTTATGACTGGCTGAAGAAACTTAGTTGATGGTATAATATAATTTATTTCCATGAATAAGTGAGTGACCTTCATATCTTATTCTGTCTTTCGTGAGTTATTATGGGCCATTCCTTCACTAGTGCGAATGAACTGTGCTTTATCGTTGCTCTGTGTTTTGTACACT